CATAACATAATCAAAACTAAGATTCATTTCTTTCGGAGACAAACAATCAAGACCCACTATGAATTGAAAGTTTTCTCTGTAGCAGTTACTGTGATTGGAACTCATGATAAATGAACAATATAAAATAACATTTGGGTTCAGGAGAATTTGTGGTGATGATATCTTGAGAAGAAGAGAGTAGATTAACTATTGTTGAAATGAAATTGTAAGGTGAAATTCTTGAATAAAAAAGGAGGAGACATAATTGAGTGATAAACATGGGAGGGAAGAATTAAGAGATAGTGGTTGATTTGGAGTGAAAGAGTTATTTAAGCATATAATTAATCAATAATAGTTTTAAGGGATGTGGGTATCTAATTGTATTTTTAAATAATATATTAATATATGGTATAAAATACTAAAAGTGGTAATATATGTAATTGTTTAAAAGTAAAAATAATATTAGTATATATAGTAGTGATGTATGTCTAATAAGGTAGTTTATCCTAGATTTTAATAGTGGTGGAGCCAGAAATTTGATTAAGGGTGTCCAAGAATAATGGTGTATGAGTGTCAAAATAAAATAAAATAAAAATGTGTTATTTGGGGTTCAAACCCGAAACTTCTTCATTCAAATGGACACCCATTACTATTGCGCCAAAAGCATAATTTTTGTCAAGGGTGTAAAACTTTAAATATATATCCTTTAAATCGTAGAATTTGACATATATATATACAACGTAATTTTCCGTTGAAGTGGACACCCTAGGATGGCTATAGCTACGCCCCTAAATTCTAAATATTCTTGACAAGTCATTATGGGTGAAGGTTTGTACGAAGTTTCACTATGATTTAACCATAGCTTTTGGAAAAAATATTTGATGTTTTAAAGAAATATCATGATTTATATCATAAGTTGTATAAAATATTTATATAACTAAAAATTTTAAAGGAATAAAATAGGACTGAAAATTCAGTCCAAAATATTGCATAAAAAAGCAGCGCCTTTTGGAGTCCTTGGAGCCAAAAGAGTCCACAAATTCCCGCAATTATTTCCCGCCATATAATCTAAAAGAAAGTTCAAAAATCCCGCCATATAATCTCTATTTTTCTCTTCCATTTTCCCAATCTCCCAAAACCCTAATACCTCACCTGAATCCCTAGCAATCCTCCGGCCGATTGCACAAAAAAAAAGAGTAGAAAATGCAATTGCCGATATGCCATGATCGGAAGAGAAAACAAAGGGGAAGCAGAAACAGTTCCATCATGGAAGGTCAGTTCACTCGGAGCAAATCTCAGATCTATTTGCATTGTAACAGGTCGGGTCGAGTTCGGGCTGATTCGACCCGATTCAAGCGTTCTGAGCACCAGCTCCGGCAACTAGATCCACCTGTGAAGAAACTCAAAAGAGTACTTGTACAGAATACAGAAGTTTCTTCGGATCTCTGTGAAATGTCAAGGACACCTATTAAGGATCTTCGTGCTCGAAGGGTGTTCTCTCCAGCCGCTTCTGTTGTTATAGAGAACGATGAGAATTTGAAGAAAAGTGAATCCATGTTGATCGAGGAGAAACATGGAGTTGGGTTTGAGCTAAATGGTGATAAAATTGATGAATGTGGGGTAAAAAAGTGTGATGAAACTGTAGGAACTGAGAGTAATGGAAATATGGGTGGTACTGGTCAAGATTCGATTGAGCTTTCTAGCGGAAATGTGTCCATTCCAAAGACTAATTCAGTAAGATATATTCTTTCGAGATTAAATTGTTATCATTGTGTCAAAGTTTGGTAGCTTAAATTTTTATGTTTATCTATGAGAAATTTGAACCAGTAGAACTAGTGATAATTTGGTTAGTGTCTACTAGAACATTGATGGTCCTTGTTAGTATAATTTAGAGTATTTATTATACTATGACTATTTCAGGCGCTTGGCATATCTATGAATTGTTTGGTTAATCAATTAGATTATGGAATTTTTGTGTGTTAAATGTTTTCCATAACACTGAGAATTCTAATCTGCTTAGGATAGCATCTTTGTGTCAAAAGGGTAGTCTAGTGCACAAAACATCCATCTCGTGTTAGCAGGATCTGTGAAAAGACGTCACCCTAAGGGATTATGATGCATCTTTGTGTCTTCTTTAAATAAAAGCGTCCATCATAAACAATTCATTAGTTATTTGATTGTATAGGGGAGAGTTTTTGTTTGGTTGATAAATTAGATTGAGAAAGTTTCCAATCGTAATTTATTTATTTCTAGGCTGCGAGTTCGAGTTTGCGTAGGAAGGTGTTCATAGCTCCAAGCTCATATAGCTACAGAAGATTGCTGCCATATTTGATGGATGCTTCGAGAGACTATTCTGGTATATTTCTAAATTTTGTTTTCTTTTTAGTCTAAATGATGATTATGAAGATTGAACTTTTCAATGTTTTGAAGTTTTTAGAGTAACTGGAGTTAAAGCAATTCTCTTTTACATAGATGTTTCAGAAATTGAGACACGTGATACATCATCCAAGCTCAACAATCCAACTTCGAGTTATCTGAAACCTCATTTACGATCAGTGGCTAGTAATGGTTCTTCTGCAGACAAACTTGTTGGTGCTAATTCTGATGTCAGTAAGACACTATGGAGTGTTGAAGGTCAGAAGATTGAGGTCAATGTATCATGCAACCTGCAAGATCTCAATGATGTCCCTGATGTTTTGTCCCAGACTCGGGTAGAGCCTCGAGTGTCTGCCAATGCGGAAGGACTTGATCCCGAGGCATTGGAAGAACGTGTTCAGACAACACCACCTGATGCTGACATTTTCTTAAAAGCTAAAGCGAGTGACTTGGGAGCCAGCATAGATCATAATGTGCAGCATATGGAGAAAAAAACTGCAGGTCATCCATCAGATAGTAGAAATGGCTACGTTGTGAAGAAGTCTACTTTGACTCCCCGGAAAAATGGCAATGTTTCGAGAAACAAATTGGTAAATAACAGTAAAATAACTAATTGCTATTATGAATTTCTCCAATTAAATGATGCTCATATGCAGAAAAAGTGAATGGCCCTTTTCCTCTAATTTTATATGAATTGTTTTTACAGGCTCTAAATCCTTGCTCTAGGCTGACGAAGGTGTTCAAAGCTGCAGGCTCTGTTAGCTACAGAAGATTGCTTCCATTTCTGATGGATGCTGCAAAAAATGATCCAGGTAAGTCACATTTTTCTAATCCTTTAGGTACATGTATTAGGTGTATTTAAAATGGATCCTTGTAATCTGACCATGTTTTACGTGTTCCTAGGAGGTGCTTCAAGTGAAAATGGACTTCCTAAATTTCGGATGGACTTGGAGTGCAACCAACCTTTGATCTCTGCGAGCAAAGAAGTTCCTAGGAACAAAGAATATTCTCCCAAGAAAGATGAAATTAAAGAACAAGAGACAAAGTTATTGGAACCGAACTG